TATATTATTTGTTAATAAATTAATTAATTTATTAAATAATTAATGTTTTTATTAAACAAGTCACTACATTATTTATTTAGTTATTCATTTAACAAGTCAACTACTTTATGTATTTATTTTTATTTATTTATTAAACAAGTCACTACATGATTTATGTATTTATTTATTTATTTATTTATTAATCAATCATAGCAAAATTACAGTTATTTTAAAAGCATCCGTTAAAAAATATCTGCATCATTTTAACTCGAACACAGGTAGTGAATGAATAGAAGTGTCCTGTCAATAGGATGAGGCCAAGCCTGAATGTGCTTGAACACTTCATTTCAAATTCATGGCCACTGTGGTGCTTAAACAGCTTCCCGCTCTTCTAGAAAGGCATCCAGTCGATGCTGAAATATGGATTCAGGGATTCACTCCCATTCTGACACAAATAGCATCAGTGAGGTCAAACCTTGACTTTGGTGGGCCTGTTTCACAGTCCAATTTCCATTCCATGCCGAAAGTCGAAGCTACTCTTCAGGTGCAGGCCAAGGTCTTTTCTATATATAGCAAAAACCTCTTAGTACCATCTTCAATTTGATTTAAAAATGTTTCTTACAGGTTCAGTCTATGTTCAGTTATTTTACTTAAAATGCAATGAAAAAAAAAGGATCTATTATTTGTCATTAAAGTGAATTTACTTAATAGCAGCCTGACAAAAATGCTCATTGCAGAAGAAAATGTCAGATGGCATTTAAATTTGCATTTGAACTCTTCATATATACAGTTGAAGTCAGAATTATTAGCCCCCTTGAAATATTAGACTGCTTATTTATTTTTTATTTATATATTTGACTAGATATTCTTCAAGACACTTCTACAGCTTAAAGTGACATTTAAAGGCTTAACTAGGTTAATTAGGTTAACTAGGCAGGTTAGGGTAATTATGCAAGTTATTGTATAACAATGGATTGTTCTGTTGATTATCAATAAAAAATATAGCTTAAAGAGGCTAATAATTTTGTCCTTAAAATGTCCTTAAAAAACTGCATTTATTCAAGGTCTCTAGATTACGCTTATTTTACCACAATAAAATATGATCATGCTATGATTTTTAATGATTTAATTAGGACAGTAAGGTCTGACTTTGCGTAGTAATGTTATGAAAAGCAAAGTATTGTTTATTTATTTATTTATTTATTTATTTAAATTTATTTATTATTTTACAATTAGTCAACTACATTATTTATTTATTAAACAGGTCAACTACTTTATTTATTTATTTAACAAGTCACTGCATGCTTTATTTTTCGATTTATTAATTTAACAAGTCAACTACTTCAATTTATTTATTAAACAAGCCACTACATGATGTGTATATAAATAAATAAATATATATATATATATATATATATATATATATATATATATATATATATATATATATATATATATATATATATATATATATATATATATATATATATATATATATATATATATATATATATATATATATAT